CCCAGGGTCCTGGCCGTGCCACCCATCCCCTTGCCACTTGTCACCTTCCATCTGGCTTGCATCACTCATGGGGCAGTTTTCCCAAATGCCCATTAGGGACCCTCTGCAGCCCCCTCCCCGCCCAATGCCCTGTCCCCCATGCTCCCCACCCCCTCCATTTCTTCTGTTTCCAGTCTGGCTGCTTCCTGGCAAGAATACACTTGCTCACCCTTAAGGTGGCATCTAGTTGGCTCCGCAAGGACTCAGTGCTGTGTGCCCTCTGCCCCTGGCCCAGTGCAGACTTCCCTGCAGGAGTGTGACCAGTGGAATTTTAAGACATCCCAGCAGGCTGGGCCAGTGCTGGCTGTCTTCACCACAGCAGCCAAGGTCAGAGGTGGGGCTTCAGCTTCAGTGAGAAAGCAGAGCCGGTGGGGGGACACACACCCGGGCGCAAAGCTGGGCCTGCGGGGTCAGCACAGCCCTGCAGAATCCGAAGCTTGCTGTCTGTCAAGATCGAGGTGTTGGCGGGTAGCCCTTCCCAGGGACCACTGGCTTCAGGTCCACCTCGGGCTCCTGGGGCAGGTCCTTGACGTTCTCCAGTTTGTTGGCCCATCCCTGTCCTGCCTTCGAGCTCATGTGGTGTTTTCCTTGTGTGGCCGTCTATGTCCAGGTTTCCCTGTGTAATAAGGACACCAGCCATTAGATTAGGACCCATCCTACTCCAGCATGGCCTCATCTTAGCCTATTACACCTGCAGCGGCTCCACTTCCAAATAAGGTCACACGCTGATGTGCGGGGGTGGGGGTGGGGGTGGTTTAAGGCTTCAACATATGAACACGGGGGACGCAGTTCAACCACTAACACCGCAAGATCCTCTGGGTTGTCTCTGAAGGCCTGGATGTCCGTGACTGACAGAACCCAGCTCAGCCAGTGCTCTACAGGGCGGGGCAGGGGCTTGGTCACCAGGAGCCCTTGGGTCACCAGGAGCCCTTGGGTCACCAGGATGGTCTGGATCCGACAAAATCAAGTCACCAAATACATCCACACCCCAGGTGCAAAGCCTTGGGACCAAATGCTACAGAGGACAGGGCACTGCCCATAGCAGGCTCCCTGCCCCAATGCCCTGATGGGGTTTCTCCGCCTGCCTCGGTGCCACTGAGGTTCCATGGGAACCTCCATCCAGGCCAGGCCCCGGCTTGGCCCCAAGGGAGGGTGTTCCCAGTGGTCCTGCATGTCAGGCTCAGAGCATGGTGCTGGGCGGTGCTACTCCTGGTTACTTGGGTCACTTGGGAGGAGCCGGGTACAGTTTCTTGGGGCTTGTCTGCACGAAGCCCAGAGACACAGTCCACACTGTACACGGAGACAGAACTTTCCTTTGATATGAAGATTGCTTTTTCTGATGGAAACTTGTCTGCCTGCCCAGCTCAGAGGATCAAGTGGAAGAGCCCTGGGTGAAGCTGCCACCAAGGCCTGGCTCTTCCTTCAAATGACAGGCCTCAGGGCAGGGCACGCCGTCAGGGTGGGCCTTCCGGAGACCCCAAGAGACACCCTCCGGTCCATCCTGCCACAGGCGAGCTGAGACAGCTCGGGATTTGGGCTATGGGGTTTCTGTTCAGATATTTGGATCAGAGGAGGGGCAGACACCTGGATGGCACCTGGTGAGGACACGGGGAGCCGGTCCTCAAGCCACAGCCGTGGCCTGCGGGAACTCACTTGGAAACCTCGTGGCCCAAGCCGGCTGCGAACAGTCTAACCTCCCACAGCTGGCGAGGCCTGCTATTCACGGAACCACACCTGTATTCACACAGCCTCGTCCCTGTCCTTCTGCCTGCGGGAACTTGTCAAGTGACCTGGTTTGCATGACGTTAAGGTTTTGCCTTTTGGACAACAGAAGCCACATGGAACATTTAACTCAAAAAGCTTACTTTGAGGAGTGCAAGGGACGCAACTAGCAAAACTCCTCATCCAGCGGAAAGCAAGCCGCGCCGGCTGGAGGGGCGTCGGGTGGGCCCAGCCGCCCTTGGAGGGTCTGATGCACCGGGCCAGCAGCTGCTTTTGAGGCTCCAGGGCAACAGCTTCCTACCACCTGGAGAGAGGAAGTGAAGGTGGGGCCAGCCGGCCGCTAAGCCTTCCATGCCTGCCCCGAGCCTGCAAAGTTACTTTGCTAATCCGCCGGGTTTGGGACTCTTAACCGCCACCGCCCAGCAAACCAGGCTCAGGAATGTGCTAATCAGCTGCCCGGGCAGAAGGGGAAGGTATCGGTGACTCAGCCCCCCTCCCCGGAGCACATGACGGCGCTGCTGCGCGAGGCTGCCAGGTCCCAAGGTTTCTACGCAGAGGGCCAGGCCCCGCACAGCTGGCCTGCCGCGTCTCTGCCCCCGCCGCGGGGCGTAGCCCACCCCCAGCAGCTGCAGCTCCTGACAGCCCAGCTCTCAGTCCACCCTGGGTGCCCTCGTCCAGAGGCCACGTGTGTCTGCCTGGGGAATCCACGCACGTTCTGGAGGGCAGAGCTAACGTCTCCCCAGTGACCGCCTCCCACAGAAACTCCGAGTGCCCAAGCTCACTTTTTCTCCGATACACGCCTTGTGTCAGCAGGACCAAAGCTCAGGACACACGGACCCTGGAGCAGACGAGACAGAAACCAGCCCCGGCGCCGGCCACCTGAGAACCAGGGAAGGGAGCCCGGCCACTGCAGGCCAAGCTGGGGCGCAGTGTCCAGACGCTGAGGCGCGGACAAGCCAAGGCTTGGTTGGTGCTGCCCAGGGTGCCAATACCAGGTTCTCGCTGGACACCAGCTGGACACCAGCTGGACACCGCAGGCCCAGGTGAGAGGCAGGAGCAGCCCTGGGGTCTGAGGGTCCGGATGGCCCTGGGGCGGTCAAGGGAGGACACACGGCCCTCTTGCTGAAGACATGGCTGTGCACGGGGGAAATGACACACGCACCTTCCCATGGGCTGAGACCACGTTCACGTAAGTGCCACAGTCAAGTCTGCTGGATGTGGCCCTGCCACCTCCAAGCTCCCAGCAGCATCAGAGCTGGAGGGCCCAGGGATGGGGTAACGTGTACGCTTTCTGCCGCAGGTGACACATCACAGGGATCGATGAAACACGTTGAGGGACAGGCCAGGATCCTTGGATACTCGGCCGTGTTTGCTCTGTCCTCGACCTCCTGGTGGACTGTGTCTCCACCTCTCTCCCCTCCTTTGAGGATGCCATCAACACCCCTTCCAGCCCACCGGCCGCTGCAGACGTGTGTAGATGGAGGGGAAGCCCTGGGCGCTGCTGTCATGACTAGAGGTGGATGCCCCCCTGAGCCCGGCCAGCCCCCCGTGGGCCCCTCATGCTCAGCTCCCTGGGGGCCAAAAGGTGTCACCAATCCCAGCTCAGGTGCCATCAGCCCAACGCTGCAGCCAGACTGACAGCTGAGTCTAACTGTGCTCTTCCCCATGCAGACTGTGTGAGTGAGCGCAGGTCCTAGAAGTCAAGTCATGTTTAAACAACCAGAGCTGCTACTTTAACATGACTGTTTTCAACACGGTGTTCTAGCAATGAGCACAGCGTTCCCGAAGCCCAAGCACCCCTGGTCTCTCCTGAGACTCTGCGGTGGTTCCAGGCAGCAGTGGGAAGGGACCACTCTTGCACGACAGAGCTGCCCACCCTGGCCATCCCGTGTCCTGATGTGGCACGAGGCAGATCGAAGCCATGACCGCTGGACACCCGAGGCGGGCAGTGCTGGTGGTACCCATCACAGGTAAGCTGGCCCATAGGCACCTGGCCAGGGGCAGCCCTGAGCTCCTCTGCTTGGGGACATGCAGGTGCACTTCACCCCAGGCGGTGACTCACGCACCCTTCCATGTTCTAGGAAAGAGGTCTCAACAAAAGCGGCCCCCACCAAGCCTACCCTCCTCTCTAGAAAGTCGGAACTCCGGCCCAACTCCCCACACTGGGAGATCGTAAGGCAGAGGCAACGACAGGCAGAAAATTTCAACTTTATTTGGCCAATGTGTCCAATTCCAACATCGTGGCAGAAGTGCCCGAGGAATGGTCAACGTGTGACTCTGCTCAAGCATCCTCGCCATCTCCCAGCCTGGAGACGGAGGGCCCTGTCCTGCCTGGGCAGCCCTCGGGCCACCCCAGACGTCACAGAGCGGTGAGAACTTGGGCTCGGGGAAGGAGGGGGCCGCCGGGCCTGTCCTAGGGGGGCCCCCGTGACAGACCTGAAGTCTCTGCTTAACCACACGAAGCAGGAGCCTCACTCTGCCCAGGCAACACTGCAGGATGTGAGGGGCCCGCCCAGCCCAGTCCCCACAGGGGACCCCCACACAGGGGACAGGAGTCTCCAGGGAGGCCCGGCCAAGGTGGAACAGACAGCCTGATGTCCAAAAATGTCTAAAAATCCCACAGGTGGAATATTTTTTAAGTGACAGTATAACCCTAACAGCAATAAGACATTGCCAGCGTGAGATTTCAAAACATTTCAGTGAACACTCAGGACAAAACTGTGTACAAAAAAGTACATCACAGTTAAAATAAAAAAAAAATAAAAAATAAAAAAAAAAAACGGCCCACCAAGACGGGCCGGGCTGGCCTGGAGATAAATCCCTTTCCAAAAATTGAAAAGCGAAGGAAGACGGGTTTAGAGTTACACGTGTTGGGGTGAAGTGTGGCTTCAGAAAAGTTCCCTGCATTTCCGACCGATGCGCCCTCTCCCGGGTGGGTCTGCGGCGCCTGGAGGCCGTGCTACTGGGCGCGCAGCCCCGGGAGGTGACCTGTTCGGGTGCCCAGCTCTGCCTCTCCGCCTTACAGTTCATCTTTCACAGCTTTGTCGTCGTCTTCCTCCAGGTCAGGCTCTTCTGCTTCCTCTAGGTCTTCTAAATCCTGGGAGGCGAGAAGAGGGCAGGAAGCGAAAGTCCAGGCTGAGCCGGCCCTGCAACGGCCCCCGCCCGGCTGCACACACCAGGGACCAGCTGCCTGGGTGCGGGTTCTGCCCATAGGACAGCGTGGAAGCAGAGCCCCGCTGCAGGGCACCCAGGGTCCCAACCCTCACCACCACCCAGTGAGTGAGCACCGGCCGCCCTGAGCAGGAGAGCTGCTGGTGTGTAATATCCACCCCTCCAGCCCCGGAGTCAAGGGGCCAGTGACTGTCCAGCGGCCACAGCAGCACAACCGGCCTGAGGGCTCCCCACCAAACCTGGCAGCCAGAGAAGCCTCCCAGGCAGCTCTGCCCCGTCACGATCCCTGGCACTTCTGAGTGGGCCCTGCGACCCGGAAGGACCATTCCCTCTGCCCACCCCGCCACACCCTCTTGGCCTGGGTGCACTCCTGACATCCCCACAGCTGACCACACACGACACGGCGAACATGTGGGATGAGCCTGGGAAGCCCGGCACTCAGATGCTCCCGAAGCCCTGGTACAGCTGTCCGTCGGCCACACTTACGTCGTCATCCCCGGCCCCATCCTGGCCGCCGCTCTCCAGGAACTTCTTAAAACCGTCCAATGTCCGTTCCCCATTGTAGTCGATGACCTGTTGGGGCAGAGTGATGAGAAGTGGGAAACAGCCCCAGCCCTGCCCCGCCCCCCCCAACCCCCGATGGCCACGGCGGCGCACCGTCCGGTCGGCGCTGGCAGGGAAGAACTTGAGCGTGGGGAAGCTGTGCACTTTCACCGCCTCCACCTCGTTGGCCGTGGAGTCCATCTTGGCGATGACGATGCTCTCGTGGTCCTTGTACGTCTCCCCCAGCTTATCCCAGATGGGGGCGAGCTGCTTGCAGTGCCCGCACCACGGGGCGTCTGAGGGAAAGCGGTCTGAGTCTTGCTGGACGGGCGCCCGCCCGGCCGAGCCCTGCAGTGGAGGCCTCACTTACAGAACTCCACAAAGACGTTCTTCTTCTCGTCGAAGGCGACCTCCTCGAAGTTCTTCCCGACCAGCACTTTGACTGGCTGCTTGTCCCAGTCGTCAGGCAGCTCCTGGCTCATCAGGTGGGGCTGGGGGGCAGGCAGAGCAGCAGGGTCAGGGATGTGCAGCTCCACCCAGGCTGCCCTGCCAACACCCGCTGCCCCGTGCACCCCCAGGGCTGGCGGAAGCAAGGGCGCTGTCAGGGCCCCGAGGCCACACCTTGACCTTGCCCTCCAGGAAGCGCTGGCAGAACTCGGCGATCTTCTCCGCGGTCAGCTCGTCCGACTCGGGCTTGTACTTGGTCATCTCCTCCTCCAGCGTGATGAGGCGCACGGCTGGGCTCTCCTCCTTCTTCAGGCCGAAGAACTCTAGGATGCGCTGGTTGTCAGAGTGGTCACTGTCGATGAAGATGAACAGGATCTTGGGGAGAAAAGGCAAGTTGAGCGGCCCCGAAGCCGAGGGTTCCCTCTGCGCCCACTGCCCCCACCCGAGCCGACCGTCCTCCGGCCCCTCCCAGCAGCCGGGACCCCAGGGACAGGCTACCCCGAGGCAGAGGAAGCCCGGGGCCGAGCCGCCCGCACCTTGCCCTTGAAGCCCTCGGCGGCTTTTCGGAAGTTGCTCAGCGTGGCCTCGTGGTCAGACAGACTCTTCGGCAGGAACAGCAGGATGTGAGTCTTGATCTCGCCTCCAAAGATCTTCGGGGCTGTCTGTTGTCACACAGGTCACTTGGTCTGAGCCACCAACTAAGCTACTGACATAGGCTTTCTCTCGTGACCCCCTGCCTGGACCACAGCGGGGGTTCTGCACATGGGGCCCCAGGGCTGAAGGTCACGCCCCTCTTGCACCCCCCCCACCCCCGCCATCGGGCGCAGGACCAGCAGCAGAGCCACACCTGCTCGGTGAACTCAATGACCAGCGGCAGCTGGTTGTGCTTGATGAAATCCAACAGCTTCTCCTTGGTGACCTCGCCCTCAAAGTCATTCCGGCCTTCGTCGAACTGTGGACAGAGAGGCCTGGGTGCTGAGGCTGTCCGAGAAGCCCCTGGGGCACTAGCAGGCCCCATCTTCCTGCCTGGGATTTCAGAGCAGCATGGGGTGGGACCAACGCGCCTCTGTCCAAAGCAAAGCCTGGTGATGGCTGCAAGGACTCACCCTCCAGGCACCAGGTAACAGGAAAGCCGCCAGGAGAGCCCCCAGGCTCCCCAGGAGCACAAGCAGCCCCTGCCCCCCGCCCCAGACAGGGACCCCACCCCAGCTGGTTCCCAACAAGCCACAAGAGCCCCACGGCCTGGGTGCCAGGGTACACCCTTGTCTCCAGTCCCTAAAACCGGGGCTCCCGAGGTGTGGGCCTCGCCCCCATGGGCCCAAGGCCCTTCCAGGGCAGCTCCAAGGTCAGAGCGGTTTTCACAACCCCGCTCAGAAGGCAGGTGCCCTGTCACGCTCCCCGCCCCCCCGAGAGTGCAGGACGGTGTGTGACATTGCATCACACTGAAGGCAAATGGGAACTCAGCTGTCTCTGTTGAGGCAGACGCTAGAGACCGCCAGAAACCCAAACTTCACTCTACCACTGAAACGTTGTTGTCTAGGAAAAATTAATTTTCATAAAAATTTAGTATTTTTTCCTTGTTATTTTAGAATGAGCAAGTTTATAATTTCTCAGTTCTAACCTCTAACACAACAAACAGACTGGTATGGTCTACAAGGACAGAGGCTCTCTGGGGTCCCCAGGAACCTGGGAGAGTTTCAGAGTCCTCCTCTTCTCTTCCTGGTCACTTCCCACTGCATTTCCCCAAAGTAACTTCCAGAAAAGCAGGTGGCCACGTCCCACCCCACCTCGCGTCACATGAAGCCTGGCACATGGCTCAACCACGACACGTGCTGCTGAGCAGGACGAGACAGAGGGCCGGGCACTGGGGGCCCCAGGGAGCCAAAGCCCAGCAGGCACCACTGGGCCGCAGTCAGAGACACACAGGCCACCGCCCCTCCCCAGAACCGCGGCGCCGCGTGGGACGCGACCCTCCTGGTACTGCTGCCACATCATGCCCCACTCATTGCCGACCTTGGTAAAGAGCGAAGAACGGCTGGCCTTCCCGTATCACGGGACAGCACAGAGGCCCAGGCCCTGGGCAGAGGCCACCCTGCCAGGCTCAGTAACATTCCCAAAAGTCCCCGCACGCACTCTCTAACCCCCCAGCTTCAGAGATGAAAAAATAAAGTAGACACAGAACAAAGACAAGGGATGGTCAGCTGTCACACTGGTGGTGCAACGCCAGAGACCCATGACCCGAGCCGGGACTCACAGCCCCAGTTCAGCTGGTGTCCTGGCCTCGCCACCCGGCCGCAAGATGCAGGGCAGCTGGCTGGAGCCGCGTCCCACTCGGCCAGGCGGCCACACTCGTCCCCTGAAGACCCAGCTCGTTGGAGGACCTGGGCCAGCAGTGAAGGCCGGAACGTGGGGACAGCAGTGGCAGGGCTCCGTCTTCCTCTCGCCCACAGTGCCGTCGGTGCAGCTGCAGCTCCTACTGACCGCCCAGCACAGTGCCCACTGGCTCGGCCGGGCTCCTGCTCGCAGCCGCCTGAGGCAACCTCCCTGTTCCAGCACCACCACCAGAGCCGCCGAGTGGAAGAGGGCACAGCCTACTTACAGGCCCCAGGCCCATGGACACAGAGCAGCGAGGCCGAGAAAGACGCGGCAGTCAGCAGAACAGATGCGCTCCGTGACCAGTTTTCACAGAGCAGGGAACAATCGTTCTGACCTTCAAGGACACGTGGTCACCACAGGCATCGATCCCGCGTGACCACCGCCACTCCAGGTCTCAAGGGTAACGGGAAAGACCAGAGCGGACTAAGCTGATCAAAGGGGGTTGGCCAGCTCGGCGGGCCTCAGTCTCCTGCGCCCTCGCCCCAAACTGCAGGGTGCCAGGACCTTCCACTCAGCTCCCTCCAGCCCACGCTGTGGGCCTCTCCTCTGCAGGTGTTAGTCGGCGCTTCCTGTGCACCTCCGGGGACACGAAGGGCTAACTTAGCAACCCTGCACCCTCACGGGCGACGCGAAGACCTCTACTGAGTAGGGAGAATGTGCGTGACGCTTCGAGTCCTCCCAAGGAAGAGGCTGCAGAAATAGCAGGAAGCAAGCCCCCCAGAAGCCAGAGCAGCTGGGGGCCCCCCAGCCCTCGTCCCAGCTTTCCCCCTCAGCCACTGGAGGCTCAGCACAGTCCTTTCTGCCCACACAAGTTACGACTTTGCTATAACTTTACAGCTACTTTCATCCCAAGGAGACAAAACAGGACAGGAGTCCAGGCCCAGCTGCACCTCCTCCTCCCCCAGCACCCTCACCTCCACCCACACCTGCTAACTGAACCGCATTAATGCCACCACCCAATCCAGGGACAGCTGTGTCCCAAGAGCATGGGTGCTTGGCCGGCCCCAGGCCCCATCTGGTGGCTGAGTTACTGAGAGACCCCAGTGGCCCCGTTGGTACTGCGGTGCACACTCCAGCCCCCGCTGTGTCCCAGAAAGAGTGCAGGGTGGCTAAAAGCCGTGGGGCCCCTTCATGACAAGGAAGAAGAGGTGTGGGCTGGGGTAGCCCATGGGGTGAGGCTCTGCCAACAAGATGGAACACTCCCCAGGAGCTGATCCTGTGGAGCAGGACTGGAGTGACAGCGGCACGGCACCGCCAATGTGACTAATGCCACTGAGTCCCAACCTCGAAAGCTGTTGAAGTGACAGACTTGGTTCCATGTGTCTCACCACGGCTTTCTTCCCCCCAAAAGCTAACACTCCAAAGCAGCTCCATTTCCGTAAAACAGTACCAGACACTGCAAGAGCTGAACAAGGGGTCCACGGCTGAGGGGCTGAAGGCCACTGAGAGGCTCCTACAACCTGACACTGCAAAACGGGCCCTGGTAACAGGCCGGCTGGCGGTCCAGCAGCCAGCGCCACCCGGGCAAGGTCCCCGAAGGCCACTGCACCCCTGCAACGTGGCACCTCGGCCACCCCAAGGGCCACTCACCTTCTTAAAGAGGACCACCCTGTCCTTGTCCAGCTGGTACTTGGAGAACACGTCACCGCTGGACGTGACCCCAAAGGGGATGTCGTCGACGGCCTCTGCTGCCAGCAGGAACTGCTTGGCGGAGTCCGACTCCAAGTCCTGGAGAGAAGGGGAACCAGAGGTGGCCGCTGCGCAACACCAAGGACCCACCCGGTCAGCACAGGGCAGACGGCGGGGCCTGGGCCCCCGCGTGAGGGAGGAGGACCGGGATGGAGCCCCAGAGCCTCTACCTTGAAGAAGCCAATGACGGCCACCTCGCTGGACGCCACCAAGGCCTCGGCAGCAGCCCCGTCAGGCAGGGTGGTGGCGGCGGGGCCTGTGCGCTTCTTCAGCCAGCTCACGATGTCATCGGCCTCTCTGCCAGCTGCACCAACACACGCAGGCCCACCTGAAACCAGGGGTGCGCCCACCCGCCCTGCCCGTCCTCGCCAGAGCTCCCGGCCAAAACCAGAGAGAAACATCCTCCTGCCACGGAACACGGCTGTCCAAAGTCCAGGGCCGAAAGGGCTCCCATGTGTATGCGGGAGACGGCACTCGTGTTTAAAGGAGGAAAAGGCAGGGCCCGCCTCTGGGTAGATT